TGCTTTTCAGTCTCTGCGTGAAACGCTAAAATCCACCAAACACGGTAACTATTTTGATAATGAACTAAATGCTGTTTCTGTGGACATCTTTATCTAATCCACCTGATCAATCTTTGATTCCTGCCCATTTCTACTGTTTGAAATCCTGACCTGATCACTTAGCATCTGACATTAATAAAAAAAGAGGTTAAGTGATTTCTCTACTGAAGATTTGACCTATAACATTAGTGTTTCAGCCATCCTCTCCATCCAATATCAGTCAAATCAAATCTCAGAGCTCACACTTTACATTTGTGGTAACAAGGAGTTGTCTCATGTGCTGCTCTGACAGTCAAATCGCTGCATGGATGAACACCAGTGCATGACTCAAAGCTGCCTTTTCTTACATCCACACTAACACTTTTTAAATGACAATGATCTCCGTTCTGATTGTTTTAGCAGTTCTTATAAATCTCTCCAAACCAGTGGTTCTCAAACTTTTTGTGGCATGCCCCACTTCAGAAGCCAAAAAAACACCCCAATCACCAACAAAGAAAAAAAATGGGGGAAAAAGTTGAATTTTACTTATACAAGGTGCATATCATCAGTGCAACAGCATCAAACGTATTCCTCCACCCAACAAAGGGAAAAAAAAACATCAGTTTCATTTAAATTTTTCACCCTGTTGTCAATGCCACACAGTTTGAGAACCACTCGTCTAAACTAGCATGCTGACTGTTCAGGTAAACTGAGCGAGCCTGCGTCGGTGTAAAGAGAAAGTAGAAGGCTCTAGAAAAATCACACCGAGGGCTAATGCAAATGTTAAAATGGTCCTTTAAAAGGAAAAAGATCTCCGTGCAGACACGCGTTTCTGACACATTAGAAAACAAGCATGTCTGCCTGCTCCGTCACCGCCGACCATTTAAAAAAACAATCCAAGCTCGGACTGCATTTTTAAAAACTCTCAGTGTCAGGCGTCTTCTGTAGCGGTGTGATTGTTAGGTCCAAACACAGTTAAGGTTACAGTTTAAAACTAAATTGTATTAATGTGGATGTACCCAGAGCTTTACTGAAAACACAGCAGCTCACACATGCACTGCAGGCCTGAATGTCCTCAACATTAACTCGCAGAGCTGTGCTGAGACCGCAAATACCAGACAGTGCAGACCTTTACCTGTCCCCGCGGTTAAAGGCTGTGTAATGTTCGACAGAGCAGACGGCAAGTGAAGGGTGTTCATGCACGCAAGCCGTTTTTGTAAGCTCTACCAGAGTTTATGATAAAGATGCTCGAGCTAATTCCTTCCCCTCACATGATTTTGATAAGAGACTGAAGCAGATGCTGGTGGAGAGTGGAGATGGGTACATCAGACTTGGATTGAGGGGGAGAGGAGGATGCGAGTTTATGCTTCTGCCCCCTCGGGATCATCATTAGACTGCGAAGTAATGTACAAACCATTAATTTGCACTTAAAATGGATTAAATCCATCATCGTTATTTTTCTCAGTGTTGTACAGAGACCTTGAAGTCCAGTGAGGTGATTTCTTTCCTCCTCTTTTTTAACATTAGTCCAGCGACTTATTTGTCCTGTTTGCACATTTTTAAAAAAGCTTGTGCACACAGGATTTTTAAAAAAAAAAAAAAAGAAGGAAAGAACCTTTACAGGACTTTGGGAGCGCTGTAGTTTTGTGTAAAAGATAGGTGAATTTAAAAATTCATACACAAAAATAACAACATCAAAATTCTTAAATGACGGCCACAACATTTGACAAAATGTTTTTTTTTTTAAACAAGTAGTCGCTCCACAGTTAACTGTGCCCAAAGATACTGTTTTAAAGACGGTCGACAGCTCTTAGGGGGCTTACAACAGTCACTATACATAATAAGTGTTGCCTTTTATTCATCATGCCAACTGGCCAATCAGAGCGGGCTGGGCATTTTGGGAGGTGGGTGTTATAGAGTGTGGTGAGAAAGGGGAGTGGGGGGAGAAAGGTGGTAGGTACATAAACAGGTCATCCCCAGCTGTGTGTCCACCTTCAGTGCTTCTGTGCCCAATCACTCCCATGTCTATGTCCACCAGGGATGTGTCTATATCCTGGAACAAGTCCTCCACAGTGAAATCCCCAAGGTAACTGGACCTCATTACCTCCATGCTGCCGTCTTCCTGCTGCTCCCTGCAGTCACCGGGATCTCTGAGTCCGTGATTTACCAAGGCCACGCTTCCCTCATAGGGCTTGGACATGTTCTCCAAGGGCCTGAGGGGTATCCGTGGAGCTGGCTGAGGATTCCCGTCTATAGTAGAGTCCAGTGCGGCAAGAATAGAGGAAATGACAGCTGAAAGAGATGAATCAGTATCAGTGGACATCGATCCCCAGTCCTCATCATCCTCTACACTGATATGGAAATTTGATTCACTCGAGTAGTTTGTCTTTTCAGTAGAATTTGGTGAGTAATTTAAGGAAACCATGGGGCAGGTGGCCAGAGCTGAGCAGCTGTCAACCGTTACAGCACAATGACGTTTTGCTGCAGCGGCAATACTTGCTGTCAGTGCAGATGAAGCAATACCTGGAGGTTGTGACACCTCCACGTTGACTGATGGCACCATAGACATGTGCAGGCTGATGTGGCGCAGGGTGTTGGCTATCAGAACGGACCGTCGCAGGCTGGGCTCACGTAGCTGCTGGGAGAACTGATACTTGTTGAGGGAAACTGTGAGCAGAAACTGCTGCTGGCTCTCCCAGGTGGGAGCTCTATAGTCGGAAGACTCCTCCTCTATTGATAGTTTGCGCTTCTGCCCCTTCGGCATCATCGTCGTCATTAAGCTGCAAAATAAGGCACAAATGTTACTGGGTTGTAATAAATATATCAC